CACCTCAGCCTTCCAAAGTGCTGGGATTACAGGTATGAGCCACAGCACCCAGCTAAGATGATCTGTTTTAAAGACTCCAGAAAAATATAGCAACACAGAATCCTTTGGTCATAGTCATTGACCATAAGATCCACTAAACTTTTGTAAATGTTTTCCCTAGTGATCTGGGGTGTGGGACAGGAGGACTTGCAGGGCAGACAGCAGAATCTTTTGATTGTGTATTAAGAGAAAACAGCTGAGTGTAGTAGTGGCTCATGCCTATAGTTCCAGCACTTTGGGAAGCTGAGGTGAGAGGATTGCCTGAGTCCATTGGTTCGAGACCAGTCTGGGCAACTTGGCAAGACCTCATTTCTACAATAAACCAAAATATTAGCTGGGCGTGGTGACACGCACCTGTAGTTCCAGCTACTTGGAAGTTGAGGTGGAAGGATCGCTTGAGCCAAGGAGGTAGAGGCTGCGGTGGCTGGGAGCGTGCCACTGCCCTCCAGCCTGGGCAACAGAGTGAGACTCCAACTCAAAAGAAAAAAAAGGAAAAAGAAAACAGCTTTCACTATTCTTTGGAAATACTGCCTTCTGTAAGGTTCCTTAATCTGTTTGTAACACAGCAAACCCAAATCCGAGAGAACTTGCTCCTAAGTTTCTTTAGATATCTCAAAAAAGTCACCTGGTGGTCCAGTAAGGAAAGATACTGATTTATTAGAACTCACTGTCGGGCGCGGTGGCTCACACCTGTAAACCCAGTACTTTGGGAGGTGGAGGTGAGAGGATTACCTGAGTACACGCGTTCGAGGCCAGCCTGGGCAACTTGTTGAGACCTCATCTCTACAATAAGTTAAATAATTAGCCTGGCGTGGTTGTGCACACCTGTGGTTCCAGCTACTTGAAAGACCTGAGTCCAGCAGGTCAACGCTGCGGTGGCGGTGGCCGTGACCGTGCCACTGCACCCCAGCTTGGGTGAGAGTGAGAGTCCAACTCAAAAAAACACAAAACAAGCAAACAAACAAAAACTTACAAATGGTGGCCGGTAGGTGAAGGAGGAATCTGCCAAGATGTAAAATTTTCGCCACCCATCTAGGACTATTAATTTCCTCCTCCCGCTTCTGACCTGCAAAAACACGAGCTAGTTGTGTGCCCAAAGCAGAGCCCGGCGTCCACGATCGTCTCCCGCAGGGGACATCGCGTGTCTCGCCTGCGCACACATATTTGTCACTGGAAAGGCCCCAGGAGCTGGAGTCACCCACCGTGAAGGTGACCCTGGATTGAGAGCCCTGGTCTGATTTCAGGGCAGCCCGGGGTCAACTCGGGCTCCGAATTTCGCCCTTGAGGCTCTGTCTAGCGAGCACGCGGACTTCAGGAACTGTGGTCGCTGAGCTGCCGGTCCCGTCGGAGTGACCCACTAGGCCCAGGAGGGACGCCGCTCCCGCCTCCGCCCCCGGAGCCTCCGAGGCGCTCGGCCCCGCCTTCCAGCGCCCCCCGCCCCGCGCCCCCCGCCCCGCGCCCTCCGC